TGGACGAGATGCATTCATCTAGGAGACGGGGTGAAATAACTTCCAAATATCGATGTTTGTAGCACGTGTACTTAAGTCTGCAGAAGGCTGGGGCCAAAGCCATGCAATTTTCCCGTCAGGCATTAGATCAAAACCGAAGGAAAAATAAATTATGTCTGAACAAGGCTTTTACTTTATTTTAGCTTCGCCAAACAGAATTATAACGATATAGACTCATATAGACTCATGTTCAAAATCAGGGCATGGAAAAAAGATGTAGAAATCTGCAGGCAAGCAGGAGAAATTGATGGGAGGAAAAACTGGATTCTGTTTTGAATCCAATTTTTTTTCCCGGGATGACGAAAACGCATGGCCGATCATCCATCCCTGTCGCAAATGCAGTTCTGAGAAATTTCTCTTCAAGGTTCGCCGAGATTTCTTGGGTCCGCAGACCTCTGAAATTTCCTTTATATTTTTGAAGGGTACCTAAAATTCTCTTTTTGGCATTTAAAGCAAACGCATTTGGACGAAAAAACAGGTTTAAGTTAGTGCTGCTCCTAGCGTCTTCACTAATGAGTCGATTTGGTCTTGTCCATCGGATACATTTTAAAGTGTATCCTGTTTTTTGTTGCCCTCAACCATAGGCAAATGATCAACCAGAGACAAAAGCCTAGACGATGGGTTAGGTGGACAAGGCTACGGCTCCCCTAACTAAAGCTATCTGGATGAACAACATGAAACCTGAGGCGGGATAACGAGCATTATAAATGGAAGACACTTGGTCTTTGGCAAGACGTTTTGTCAGATCAGTCTTTTACAGAAATAACTAGCAACAAGACTAGGGGAGAAGAAATTGTTTAGGCTAGTCCAGATGCAGAATCCTGCTTGAAAGGTGAAAGACTAAGGCCCCTTTCACCTAGAGAATTCATTTATTTTCATGGTAGATATGCGTGTCAGATATGTATTTGTGACTTCGCTTTAGTACCGACTTAAATATGCTGATGACAAACTATGCAGAAGAAACGGGAATGGAAAAAATGTAAAATTCGGAAACTGAAGTTTTGTCTCAGTCCTGGTGACGGCTGGAAAAAAGAGTTTCGAGAAAACATAAAGGGCAAGGAAAGTGCAATGCCAAGAGAAAGACAGAAAAAGAGCAAGATGAATAAGAAAAGGCAACATAATGCTTATTATTCACTCTACGGAGGGGAGAAATTTTGACTAGCCAAGAGACTTGTCTACATCCGCTCCTTGAGAAGCCATCACCAAAGGCTCGCTATCCCAAGGCTTCTTATCGCTGAGGCCACTGATACTAGCCACTGAGCAGTTGGTGGAGCCTGAACGTATGGCTCCATAGCTTCGATGCCCAAGGCTTGAGCTATAAATCATACTGGCCCCAGGATGTCGCTGTATATGGCCAGATCGTGAACGGGATGCTTCGCTGGCTTGAACTACTTTGTTGGTCACAGAATTTAGCTGATACCGAGTATTGGCGGCAGCTGTAGTTGCAGCCAAATGCCTCTCGAAGGCTCTGGAAAAGCTGCTTGCCGTGCTTGGATCAGAATCGGGAGAACCATCGTCCCTCTTCCACCGACTAGATAAAGTAGAGTCGCCGGAGGGGCTTTTGTCTTCGTCCCCCTTGCCAGAATGCGGCTCAGGATCAAAAGAGTTAAGAGATTTATCTCCATTCTCCATGCATTGCTCAATCGGTTGTGTTAATGGCGAGTTATCACCTTTCGCAAAGCTAGCCAAATTGGGATTGCGAATGAACTTTGTGCTATTTGTGTTGTTCGAGCCCACCGGAATGCTATTTATTTCAGGATCTAATTCTTCGAGGACCTAATAATGAAGAAGATTGGAACTTTAGGAAAACCAAGCAACCGAATAATTATGAAAACACTAAAGGCTAATTATGGCAAAATTATGTTTCTGGGATTTAAAGTAAAACCATCGACTTAGTTTGTCGAATAGACCAGATCATCTTATCATAAATCTAAAGGTTGATCCATCTCGGAGTCGAAGAAGTCAAATCAGAGTGAGTAATAGTGAACTAAAGACAAAAC